TGGGCGGAAAAGTCCGGGCTAGGGGATGGGGAAGCAGGAGCTCGGCCCCCCTGCCACCTCCCCCACTGGGACGGGAGCACCGACGAGCTGTTCCCCTCCCGCTCTGCACATCAAGCCCTACCGACAGCTCTGCCAGGACGTCTCACGCTGTACAATCTTCTATGCACTAGAAAAGCCCCTTTTGATTTAGAAAAGCCTCCAGCTCTCTCAGAGTTATTAAACAAGGAGCGGGAACTACTTCGACCATCTCCTGCACACCTGCAGCTCACCTGAGCAAGTCCCCTGGCTGGTGGCTAACGCTGGGAGCTGTACGCTGAGAGGCCGAGCCACCAGCTCCCAGGAGCCTTACAACGGGAGGCTGTGCCACCGGCTCCCTGGGAACCACACACCAGGAGGCTGAGCCCCCGGTTCTCCGGGAGCTTGGGAGGCTGAGTCCTCGGGGGCCACTCACCAAGACAAGCCAGCAGCTCCCCGTGTGCCCCCGGAGCCCTGCTCAGCGCCAGTCAGACCCCCCTGCTCAGGGCAGTGCATCGCAGCAGCTTCGCTGAGAGGCAGATGCTGCAGCCGAGCCAAATTTCCCCCGGTTACAACCACACTTAGAAATTCCCAGGTAGGCGAGCGAGCCAGCCGGCAGCCCTGATGTAATGCCTATAAACCAGCCTTCCCCTGACAGCTGGGTTTTAAAGTGCTAACAACCAAAAGGGAGCTAATTAATTTGTAGCATCACCCCTTTCAAAGAAGACCTCAGCTCGATGATTTAACAATTCAGTAGCTCATCACTTCGATGAACAGTTGGATTCAGCTTTGCCCCAGCCCAGCCCTGTGCCCAGATCCCTCCAGGCCCCTCTCAAGGCCAGTTTGACGGCTCTTACCTCCTCACCTCAAATCCAGGAACGCAGGAGGAACCACACTAGGCTCAAGGACCTCCCAGGACATGGAGGATCCAGGGGCAAGCTCCCTCTACCACAACTGTCAATGTCACCATGGCCAACTGCTTCTGTCCCCATGGTAGGGGACATAGGACGGGAAGGCAGCACAGTGGGGCAGACCTATGATGGAGTCAGATCCATGTGCTCACACAGGCACCCCAGGGGGAACAGCCAAAGGACTGAATCAGCCCAGATCTGAACAACCACCCTCCAGGTCTGCTCTATTACAGCCTCTTTGCTCCAAGATTTGGGGACTAGAGGGAAGAGAAGGAAAACAGCACTCTGCCCTTTGACCTTGCCACTGTTTGTGAGCACAGGCAGCACTGCACCTTCACAAGGCTGCCAGGACACAGCCTGATCCTGGGCAGAGCACCGGCAGCAGGCAGAGGCCACAGATGGTGGATA